TGCAGTGCAGGTATTACACGTTTTCACTGGCGCTGCGAGTGCTGCCCCGTGACTTCTAATAACCTCTGTTGTCTTGTGTCTTCGGAGCACCACTTTGTGAGCGCTTGGGACGGCTGTTTTGTACCAGTGCCACTCCTAATGCCCGGGCTTCATGACAGATCAGAGGTGCTGGGGTGTGTGGGTGGGTAGAAGGATGTATCTGGGAGTTTTGGGAGGGAGGGGGGGGTTTGGTTGTCAAAACAGCTCCTCGTTCCCTCCTCAGCCGCTTCCTTTCCATCTCTTCTTCTTCTTCTTCTCCACCTTGCTGCCAAAAGCTGGATAGAGATCAAAGGAGGCCAACATGAAAGGCTTCCCTGAGATTCTGTTTTTTTCCTTTTCTCGGTGCCCTGTCTCAGTGCTCTCTGTGTTATAGATATGGAAATTCTAAATTCCAAATACATCTTCTACCCAGACTGCAGAAAATGCCCGGCTTCATCCGACTCCTCTCTTTTCTTTCCCTTCTCCTATCCTCTGCCTCGTCTCGCCCCCTTCATCATCATCTCTCGCCATCCCCTGCTCTTGCCTCTCTCCAGCAGCCCTCAGGCATCCAGGTAGATAGCGGTTGATTGGCAGCTGCTGTGACAGTCAGTGGAACCAGCTGAGAGTGGATGAGTGTCAGCCTTGCTCCGGGGGCTTAAGGTAGCGGCAGTGTTGTAGCTCCCTACTGGAGAGAGAGAGAGGCCCATGAAATAAGACTCAGTTCAGTTCTTTTCTTTCCCTCGCTTCTGTCAACTGAAGCAGGTAGGAGCTAAATAGGTTTTTCAAATCGCTCCAGAGTTTATCCTGAGACTGGAAACTGGAACATTTCTTCAACTCACATCCTGTAATGTGCTCGCCTCCTCTCGTTCCTCTCTCCCTACCCTTTTGGTTATCATATAAAAGTCTGTTTTATGATAGGTTATAGCATCTTGTTTTTCTGGGGCTTTTTTAAAATTCTTCTCCAGCCTCCCTCCTTCTTCCCTCCTATCTGTTCTGAATCCTCAGCCTCAGCTGTCACGCCACTTGACAATTAGCCATGCCGTTCCCGTCTGTGCTTCATCGCTAAAAAACTTTTTCCTCTTATTTTTTTTTTCAACTTCTGAATGCAACTCCATGGCCGCTGTACGGCAGCCACAGGGGGAAAAGTGTGAGAATGAAAAAAAAAAGAAAAGTGAAAAGTGAAATCGTCTCAGTTCTAAAGTGGCTGTGACCAATTCCCAGATGGAGGGAAAGCGTTTTTGTGATGGCTTTCAGTGCGTTGCCGCTTGAGCTCTGTCCCGTCAACAGCAAGAATTGCGTCAGCTTTCCCTCTGGCCAAGTGTGTCCCATTCTCCACAGCACAGACAGAGGACACGGTGGCGCTGGAAAGGCCTCGCGCAGCGGGAGGAAGGCGACGACTCTTTATTGGGTATTCCAAAGACACTTTGTACTGATGATAACCGTGTAAGTCAAACAAAAGCTCAGGTTAGGCCGTTTGCCAGCTCCTTTTTCTACCTTTCAATTGTAGTTGTTTTTTGGTCACAGCTCAAACAGCTGACTACAAGCAATTTTCGACCTTTCTGGAAAAGAAATGAGAGTTGCAGCCTTGCAGGTAAACACAATGCAGAAAGTACAGTTTAAAAAAACAATTGTCTTATTGTGGTATTATGACCATCGCTGCTAAAGACTTAAATTAAACACAGATAGCTGTGCCAGCTGCATCCGTCTGAGGTCAGATAGTTGAAAAAGCCGTTTTTAACCACTTAAGCCCCACGCCCCCGGTACCGGGGGCAAAAAGGAGGAGATCACGTTTAATCGGTTATAACGCAGGTTGAGAAATATAAATCCAGACGTGTGTGGTATCCACAGAAACCTCAGAATCTCAGCTAAAATGTCATATAAACCATTTCTACAACCACCAAACACACCGAAAACAAGCCGTGATTAAACGAGCAGTTACGTATATGCGCAGAAGTCCGCTAAACAAACAAAACCGAACCAGAAATTCTTCAGACTTCGTGTAACCGGCTAAAGACTGGTTAGCTTCCAGAGCTATCACTGACTCCACACACCAAGTTTCACCACGATCAGACCAAAATTCACTGAATGAGCCGCAAAAGAAGACCACAAAAACACACAGCGGCGCAAATGCGCTAAGACAGAAATTGGCTTACCTTCCCGATTTCCTCTGGTATTTTCGCTGGTAGCCGGTAGCCACGTGACTAACAGTAGTTGCCATGCCTACCTAGCCGCATCAGAGCAGTTTTCTGTCAACAACGTCCATTTTAGACCCACCTACAGACACGTGACTGAACAGACGCCACATGCAGTAAATTTGGGCCCACGTGGGTTTTGGCATCACAACGTCTGATTGGTTGCAGTGACGTGAACGTGACGTCATTACTATGAATCTATTGGCTCAAACGATTAAAAAGAGGTGTCAATCATGCAAATTGACCAAAAGAAACCAAAGTTACAGCCCCTCGGTGTTTAAAGGGCCAGAGGCCAATCAAATGCTCTATGCGCAAGGCAGAAAAGGGCCGTTGCCATGTAAATGTGTGGTTAATTCTTCAAAAATATATTTTTGCAAAAGCAAAAGATGTGTCTGCTAGTTTGGGAATCAGCCAGTTACTGCATTTTCTTTTTTTCTTCTTCTTGGCTTTATAAGTTGGACGACCTACAGTAGTTTGATGCTTCTGCCCTCAGCTTGTGTACTTTACATGTCTTCTTGGGTAGAAGGGAGGAACGAGCACTTTCAAGAGCCCATAAATATTGAATGCGGGATAAATGCGGACCCATTTGATTATGAAACGGAGTGTGTGTGAATGAGTTTAGTTGTACGCGTCTGATACCAGCAGAGTGCTCTAGAGTGTCTGGTGAAAGACTGTGCGTCACTGCAAAGTGGACCTAATTAGAGGGATTTGGGGTGTATTTAAAAATGAATCATACTTCTCCACAACACCGACAACAGTATTCACCACTTCTCTCAAATGGGCAGCTGGCAGGGAGATGGCTTGCTGGATCGCTAAATGCTCCCAGAAACATATGAATGGGAGGCTTGATTGCTTTGTCGCTAATGAGTCGTGCAGTCGCGCATACTGTACGCTGGGGCGGCGCAAATGCCGCTGGAGACGGCCCTTCTACTTTTGTTTGTGTTCACAGCTGCCTCTGGTCCTTCGCATAGCTGGCCCGCTCATCATTAACACTTCAAAACATGAGCCGGCGGAGCAGAATTTTAAACAATTCATTCAAAGAAGCCCCCCCTAAAAATAGTCTCAGATTGCAGGAACGGCACACTGATCAATATTTATCCTCGTTTTTGCCTATTAACTGTGTTTGCAGTTCAACACAAAGCAAAGCAGCTTTTCTTGCCTTCTTAATAATCACACTTCCCAGTGAGCAAACCTGCACGATATTACCTCCTCGAACTGCCTGATTTGTAATATTGAGGCCTTTTTTCTTTCTTTTTCCCCCCCTTTCTGATTGCTTCTCTTTTGCACTAAGTAAATTTGTGATAAACCCTTACAACCTGAGAAATGTAATTTCAGCATCGGAATGGAACACGATTAGAGCGAAATGGGAGAAATCCTTTGGTGATGGAGTGTGTCTCAGGAATGGCATTGGGATGCAAGGAAACGTTTTAGAGAGAGGGGAAGGGGAAGAAAACACCCAAAACAAAACAGTTTGCTTTAATTGTGTGGTGAATTACAGCAACAGTAAACCACATGGGCATACTCACCGAGAGCCATAAATTCAGACACAAACACATGCACGCTTGAGCATCATCCTCTGCATATGAATGGATTAAATCAAAAAGAAGAGCAGGGGCTTCTAAACTTGTTTATATGCAGATTTTGCTGCACTTGAGGTGATGAAAAACAGCAAATACACAGAAAAACGCTTGTGCTATTTTTACCTTCAGACAAATACGATATGGGATACACAATAGCTGTTTGCTCCCTTCACGTTCACAGCTTTCCATTACACAGACCTGGAGGAAGCACAAGACATAAAAGGGAGTCATCTTATGTCTGTAATATACATGCTATTGTTCCTGTATCGCACGATCTCTATCGCTCTGCCGCTGCCTGATTGCTCTGTCTCGATGGATTGAGAGGTTAATCTCCTTGGGAGAGGTCTATTAGCAGGTTGTGCTGGCAATGAAAGCAACTTGGCATTGGTACCTTCGCTCCACGACTACAGTTTGTGCAGCATTTTGGGGATCTTTCATCTCTTTCATCTCTCTCTCCTTGTGCATCCTTCTCAGTCCACGAGTATTAAGTAAAGCTTTGACACATGTGGTGAGTTGGCAATGGCCAGTCTGATTTTTTTTTTTCCAGCTGATTGTCTTTTTTACTTTAACCTAAATTAGGTCTTTTTCTTAGTAATCAGTGGTGTGTGTTAGACTCAGATAATTATGGGATGCTATGAGGAGTTCTTCCTATCTGGCCTGGGAAATGTGGCAACGTATCACCTATGTTAGAATGGAGCAGCTGCTCGCTGTGGGAGCCTAACTTGGCAACCCTGAGCACCTCATGCTCCATGACTGCAGATGTTGCAAGATTAAACTGTAGAGAAAGTGAGTGTATGCATATCTGTGAATGGGGACAAAAGTAGTAGATTAGCTGAATAAAAAGCATGCTCACATGGTGGCAGTTTGGCCGTTTTATTTACTCTTTGAACATTTAGACATCTATTTATCTAGACATTGATATCTAGATAGATAGATAGATAGATAGATAGATATTAGACATCTATCTATCTAGAAATCTATCTATCTGGACATGCATCTATCTATCGATCTATCTAAACATCTAGACCTCTATCAATCTATCTAGCCATCATTTTAGACATCTATCTGGACATACATCTATCTCCACATCTATCCATCTATCTGTCTGTCTGTCTACACATCTACCAAGCCATCGGCACCATCTATTTGTTGGTTTTTTTCTTCAAAGCACATGCTAACACGCAAATACTTCCTTCTCCTCTCCGTCTAGCTGGTTGCAATATATGAAGAGCAGGATCCTCACAATGGAGGTGACGGTACCAGTGCCAGCTCCACAGGTACACAAAGCCCAGAACCCTTCGCCGGTGAGATGAATTCAGCATCAGCCTTCCAGCCCTACCAGGCCAGTAGTGAGATTGAAGTCACCCCATCTGCTCTGCTATCCAGTGAGTCTAGCATCAACATTTACATCACCACTATTGTTATTCTTGATTCATTCATAACTGTTTAAAAAAATGCACAGTTCTCAGGTCTACTTGACCCAATCACACGTCCAGTGAAATGTTCCTGAGCTTTAGACTGGAATATTTGGAAGCGTGAAGTCAATTCTCTGCCTTGAAGCAAAGGGTAGTTGGCATTGTTGAGTGGTACAGTATAAAAAAGAGAAAGTAGCCTTCTGATGCAAAGAAGAGAAAAATTATCATCAGTGTGACTAGTACCTTGAGGCCTGTGCTGTGCTTTTGTAAGAAGGAGCAGGAAATGTATGCCACTAGCAGACATTCAAAATGCAAAGCTTTAAAGGTCAGGCACATGAAATCTGACGTCTGAAAGCTAAAAGTTACTTGGGAAGCCAAGCATAACAAAAGGTAATAATTTCAGACCGTGGTCTGCACTGATGCTTACATTCAGCTCCTTGGGTATCTGCTTATTTTGTGGTGTGAAATTCAGCTACTAAATTATAGCCCACCAAAATCTGTGTTGCTTAGGTAATGCTATGCTTTGTTGTTCTGAATCACCTCGGCTGACACAGTGTTGATAAAGGTGACCACAGGTTGTCAAAACACATCCATTCAGTTCTGGATTGGAGTAATGTGAGCGATGTTATTAATTTGTTTGTAACAGGGCTGTGAGATCCTGACTCAAACAGACGTGAAAAAAGTAAACTTTTTCTAACTGACACCAATCTGACCAGAGACATGCTTCAGGTGTATTATTCAGAGTTGAGTGTCTGTCGAGACTTCGAAAGGTGTCCTGGGAAGTTAGACAGACAGGTAGAAACCGAGACAACGGAAGGAATTGAGACGCAGTGGGTTACTCGGTCACGCATGAGCAAAAGCACACATGCCAGAGCAAGATGGACGTGCACGCACTCACACGTGGCACGCACAATCAGGAAATGGCAACGCTCAAGTTGGTGAGTCAGATGTTGCTTGTGTCCACATATTCACATCTTGTGAAGTGGAACCAGTGAGCTTGATGCGGAGCTGTCTTAAACTTCAAAGGACATCTAAGACGTTCAAAGCCAAAGCGCACATATAGGCGCCGGCTGACACACTCGTGCACATGAATGAACAGTTGACTTTACTCTTCTGCTCTGACACAAAACCTGATAGAATGTGAAGATTTATGGAAATGACGTGAGAATGGTGGCAGTCTGAAAGTGAACCAGAGGCACAGTGTGAAAAAAGCAGGTGCGTGTAGATGCTGTCCGACCTGCTGTCAAAAAGCTTCACACAAACCACCCTAACTCATTTATAGCTTTGAACACTGTTTGTGTGTTGAAAGAGCGACTTAAAATTAGCACATTCAGATCAAACTCAGGTGGTGAGGGTGGGTAGATGCGCCTCTAACAGCATCACCATCGACACAGGAGCACCTCAGGGATGTGTCCTCTCGCCACTGCTCTACTCCCTCTACACTTCAGACTGTGTGGCCACCCATGGCTGACGACACAGTGGTGTTGGGTGCCATCTCTAACAACGATGAGGTGGCCTACATGGACGAAGTGAAGAATCTGGCATCATGGTGCCAGGACAACCACCTCCAGCTGAACGTCGGCAAGACCAAGGAGCTGGTGGTGGACTTCAGAAGGAGTCAGCACAGAGACTACAAGCCCATTATCATCAATGGAGCTCCAGTGGAGAGGGTGCAGTCCTTCAAGTACCTTGGTGTCCACATCTCCTCAGACCTGACATGGTCTGCCCACATTCAGGTCCAGACCAAAAAGGCTAGGCAGCGTCTGTACCACCTACGACAACTGAGGAAGTTCAGGGTCTCTCCAAAGATCCTCAGGATTTTCTATACAGGCGCTGTGGAGAGCATCCTCACAAAGAACATGACATCGTGGTTTGGGAACAGCTGTGTTAAGGACTAAAAAGCTCTCCAGCTCCGTACAGCAGAACGCTGCTGCAGGATTGCTCTCCCCCCGCTTCAGGACACCTACACCAGGAGATGCTGGACTAGAGCAGCGCAGATACTGAAGGACCCGTCCCATCCTGGCAACAAACTGTTCCAACTTCTGCAATCTGGTAGAAGGTTCCGCATCATCCGGAAGAGGGCAGAGAGACTCAAGAGGAGCTTCTATCCCCAAGCCATCCGGGCCCTAAACACACACACCCGCCCTCTCACATCATCTATAATTGACTGAGACAGGACTCTCTTCCAGACACTCTAAACCCAGGCACAATGTACATTCCAAATTCCTTTAATTTTAAATATGTTTATATTGTCTATTCTGTAAAATAGTCAGATGACCTTCGGCGTTCTTATGGTACGCGGCGGGTTATGGCTGAAATCCAGCGCAATGACGCTCCCGCAGTAATAGACGTTCCAGCCCTGTATTCCAGCCCTAAACCTAACCTTATCCCTAGGCCTAACCATAACCTTATTCGTGATCTTAACCAGGACTTTAATGACGTTAAATAGAGTGTTTCTAAGCCATTTGAAGAAAAAGAGCGCACATGTGTAGATTGAGTCCAGACGGTTCTCATATTTCCTCATTTTTCCGAGGTCGTCATTTAGGAACGTGGTGGGTAGCCGAAAACGTAATATGTTGACGATTTGTCACCTAGCCTAAAATGTTACACTTTGGGAGTGAGAACGTGTTGATATATATATAATGTTCTTCCTCTACCCCCCCCCATTTTTTGCACATGTCAAGGAGAGTGTCAGGTTACATTTCACTGTGTGTTATACTTGTATAACTATGCATGTGACAAATAAAGAACCTTGAATTAAGTGTAATTTAAATCACGTGAATCCATGGCAAGAAAACTAAAGTGAAACGTATTACATTTTATTTAATAGAAAAAAAGACTACTGTCCTCATTCATATACATTGATTAGTGTGTAATTACATCTTTAAACAAACTAAATCATTCCCACAAACTTAAAATGAATCCATTAAAAATTAATGGGAGCAGATGTCTGTTTGTGGAAGCCTCACGTTGCACCGCTATCTTAAATACAGCGACTGAGATGGACATCGCTGTTCTGCCTAATCGTGTTTTATGTCTGACTGAGATAGTTAGAGATTATTTTTTATTTAATTAACCTTGAGTATCAGTGTAATATATCAATCTTTTAGTGGAAACGCTATATGAAAAGAAATGGACAAAATTTCAGGCCACCTGTATGTAATTTTAGGTCATCTAATATCTCAAATAATGATTGAATATGCAGCGTTCAGGATGATTGAACACGCATCGAGGCACTTACAGTTGGTAGCCTAGCCATCGAAGTTCCTGCATTTGAAAAAGTATTATCTCCTGAACATTTTTTTAAGAGAAAATACATTTTAGAACTTTATTTAAACTCTCTCAGTGTTGCAGAGTGGTTGTAGATTGCTCTGTTTCTTTACAGTAGATACAAACTATAGAATTTGACTGTAACTATACTATAACGTGCAGTCATTATGCAGTGTAATTTTGTAGATGGTGGGGTGTGGACCTTATTTCTGCCCTCCGAAGCCTTGTATGTGAATTACACAGAAGACAGAGTGTTTTCTCAGTGTTGTTCTATATCTGATAGCTCTTTTCTTCTTTATCTAATGGAAAAACCTTTTAGATATTATTGTTGAACAGAATCATAAAGTAATTAATTAAACTGTGAAGACCTGTTTGACCTTCTGCTAATTTTTTTCATAGAGCCACACTTTTTCTTATTTGGATGTCACGGTGATGAGTTTGTGAAAGCTTTCTTCACCTACGCAAACTTCAATTAAATTAAATTCAATTCAATTCAATTTTATTTATATTGCGCCAAATCACAACAACAGTCGCCTCAAGGCGCTTTATATTGTACAGTAGATACAGAGAAAAACCCCAAAAAAACCCATATGACCCCCTATGAGCAAGCACTTTGGTGACAGTGGGAAGGAAGAACTCCCTTTTAACAGGAAGACACCTCCGGTAGAACCAGGCTCAGGGAGGGGCGGGGCCATCTGTGGCGACCGGTTGGGGTGAGAGAAGGAAGACAGGATAAAAGACATGCTGTGGAAGAGAGACAGAGGTTAATAACAGATATGATTCAATACAGAGAGGTCTGTTAACACATAGTGAGTGAGAAAGGTGACTGGAAAGGAAAAACTCAATGCATCATGGGAATCGCCGGCAGCCTACGTCTATTGCAGCATAACTAAGGGAGGATTCAGGGTCACCTGGTCCAGCCCTAACTATATGCTTTAGCAAAAAGGAAAGTTTTAAGCCTAATCTTAAAAGTAGAGATAGTTTCTGTCTCCCGAATCCAAACTGGAAGCTGGTTCCACAGAAGAGGGGCCTGAAAACTGAAGGCTCTGCCTCCCATTCTACTTTTAAATACTCTAGGAACAACAAGTAGGCCTGCAGAGCGGGAGCGAAGTGCTCTAATAGGGTGATATGGTACTACAAGGTCATTAAGATAAGATGGGGCCTGATTATTTAAGACCTTGTATGTTAGGAGCAGGATTTTGAATTCAATTCTGGATTTAACAGGAAGCCAATGAAGGGAAGCTGATACAGGAGAAATATGCTCTCTCTTTCTAGTCCCTGTCAGTACTCTTGCTGCAGCATTTTGGATTAACTGAAGGCAAACATGCTCTAAAGCATGTTTTTTGCATAAATATTGCATAAATAGCTAATCTTAGATTGTGGTTAAGCAGAAAAACTGATTCCTGCACATAACGTCTCCTGTAATGAGCCTTACTTCTATGAAGAGCAGTGTTTGGAGAACATGACAAGATGATGAAGAAGGAAGAAGAAAGAGGTCATCAGGTTGGTGAAGCAAATGACGTGTATTGTTTGTTGCAGCGGTGAGGGGACGCTTTACCAAGAAACTGCAAACAGGGTTGTATTACACAGCGTATTAGTTCCTGGGAGATTGTATGTAATGCACATCAACTCTTTTTATATGTTGCTGTCTCAAAACTTGTTTTAAGCGTCAGGCTGACTGGCATCGCATGTACATGGTC